AAAATGAGAGTTTATCTAATCCAGATGCGCTTTTAGAAAAAATGATCAAATATAAACCAACAGGTGGTACCAGTTTTAACAACGGAATTAAGAAAGCTTCTCAAATAATTGATAATTATCATAAACCTTCCAAGTAAGTCAAAAATTTAATGAATATAAATTCATATTATATTATATTGATTATTAATATATTTTTTTTTATCTAGAACAAATGTAGTCATTTTTTTATCCGATGGAGAAGATTCTACTCCAGAACAGGATTTGCGAATTCTTTGTCAGAAAGAAAAGGATAGAGGGTATTTTAATTTTTTTAATTTTAATATCTTATTTTTTTTTTTGCTTTGCTTAAATATAATACAAAAAAATTTGTATTACATTTTTTAGATCATATTTGTATCTTTATACAATTAAGTTTTCTGGCACGACTAGTGTAGCTAATACGACCAGTATAGTTGGTGGATTTTTTGACTTATTTGGTGGAAATTCTCATGACCAAGGGTCATTGCAAGAAATGGCAAATATTGCCAAAGGATATCTTCCAAAATCATCAAACAACAAAGATTCGCTGAAATGTGAATATGTTCGTGTAATTGATCAGATTAATCTTATTGGCCATTTTTATGAGGTAGCAGAATGCCTTCGAAATCATAAACCAACGTTAATCAATGTTAATGTTAATAAGAAATAAGGGCTTAACATCACAGCGAGTGAGTATTTAGATTCATAATTATTGAAATCAATGTTAAAAAATAGTCACCATCTTTTGTTGTGTATATTTAAAATATGGAAGAATTAAATTAATTAATATGAATAAATATTATTATAATTATTTGATTATCATATTGAATTTACTTTTTGTACATGCATTTGGAAATTCATCTCATTGTTTGAATGTTTCTTGACATGAGCAAAACAAAGAATGAAAAAGTTTATTGTTTTATGCTACTTTATTTGTTATATTGTAATTAACCCAATGACAATTTTAATGAAGAACGGAATTATATAACTCATTATTTTTTTTCCTTTTAATTTTAAATACTTTCAATTACAATGAACATGGAAACTTTTTAAGATTATAGGATACTGCATGGCCCGCAAATTATTAATGTTTAGTCTCACATAATTAATAACTTTGTTTTTATTGATATTAAAAGACCAATTAATATACTATTCCTTTGATTTTTTGAACTTCTGATAGAAGTCATGCAATGTGTTTAAAACTTATTATCTATATATTTTTCCTCTCGGGAAATAGTTGTTGACAATGATAGCTTGAATTTTGGGTTATTTTTACACCCTAAGAAAACCGTGTCAATCCTTATTACAGTGCGGGAAGTCTGTAATATAACCAAAAATTTTAACCCTAATTTGAAAGATTAAGGCTTGTGACACAAACTTAAAATAGAAATTTTGACCGAGGATTCTGATTGCACTTATTTTATCTATACAAAATAAAAATTGGAAATATATAAAAATAATAAAAATATTATTTTTTATTAATTTATTTTATTTAAAGATCTTTTAATTTATTAAAAATTTCATCTAGCATGATCCAGTGCAAAAAGATTTACACCTCACTTAATTATTAATAGATTTTTTTAAAATTAAAAATTTTATTTTTTATCTTGATTATAAAATTTATTAGGTTATCTGATACATTATAATAAAATTTTATTAATTATATATAAGTAAATTAAAAAATTATATTAATAACTACTTTATATATATAATTTACAAAAATTTACTATATGTGCCATATATATGCCCATACACTAGTTGAAAATTTATAAATACTACACCTATCAGGTACCAGATAGGTAATAGATAAGTGTAGTGGTCTTGTTGAATATTGGGTACCTGATAGTCTACAGATAGTCTACAGATAGGTATATCAGGTACTGGATGTGAAATATCTGTAAGCTATTGGATATCCAATATGAGATATTAATATCTGATATTTAGCAAAACCACTATTCTTATCTATCACCTAACATATCTGGTACCTGCCAGTGTAGTATTGACCAGTGATATAATAAAAAAAAACCCAAATTATTAAACTTTGGAACTTGATTTCTTCTCAACTGCTGATCTAATTTTACTAAAATTTAAAACGCATATTTATCATATGCATCGCTATGCACTTGCATAATATGAACTGACACTGGTTGAAAATTTATAAATACTATATCTATTGGTACCTAATATGTGTAGTATTTATAAATTTCAACCAGTGTCATAAAATCATATACACAAAATAGAAATGTTGAAAATCTTATTTTTTCAGAAAAATTTTTTTTCTTTTTTTAAAAAATTTAAAAAGTTTTGCTTAATCAAACTTTATAAAAAAAATATAAAAAATAATAACAAAACTTATGTAAAAAGGCAGATCAAAACATATTTTATATTATATAAAAAAAAAATTAAATATATTTATTAAAATTTAAAAATTTTTATATGCAGGAAAAAATTCTTTTTGAGGTACAAATCTTTTTGCACTGAACCATACTCTTCTATGAAATTTGTATTTTTTTGCTGCAAATTCTGTCAATTTACCTGTTAAATCTTTTCTATACATATCCATATACCTTTGAAATTTTCATGCAAATTTTTTAATTATAATTAAGGGTACAGAATCCAAAGCTTCAGGAACTGTTTTTTGTAATCCAAATCATGTATAATCATAATTTTCTCTTGTAAATCTTTTAGCAGCTCCCCAATACAATTCAATGCAATTTAACTCACAGTGATATTTAGGATAAAAATACATTTATGTCCTCTTTCTTCAATTGCAATTTCAATTTTGGATTTTTTATTTTTAAAATCTGGTTGCATTGATAACAATCTGCATGTATAACAGTCTATACATTGTTACCTGTGATTTTTCCCACTAATATTTTTATAGTATATTTTATTATTAACATTTATATTATTAGTTATTTAATTATTATTATATTATTTATTTATATTTATTGTAGTATGTAAATCAATAATGTAGATTATAGTGACAAAGTTAATGGCCAATTTAGTAACCAACTAATTGACCAAAAGATTGTCAAAGTTAATGGCCAACTGATTGGAATAATTACTGGCAAAGATATTGGGAAAGTTATTGACTGAGTTTTTTGCCAAGTTGAAATTATAAAAAGTGTGAGTTTTCCTTCCATCCAAAGTAGATTCAAATAATTCTAAATAGTGAAAATTTAGATAGTAATCTCATTTGTAATTAATTACATTATTGAATCAATATTTTTGATAATCCTAATTGATAGGATTATTGATTTATTTCATAATAAACTTATATCTTTACTTAAAACTCTGCTATTTTCTTATGAATTTATATTCTTCAAATATAAATTCTTATTAATAAACTCTTGTTATTACTTTGTAATCTCTTGATACATATTTTCAACTTTAGTCCTAACCTTTTAAATTGCTCACCTGAATTTAATAGTTAATTTTATTATAGTTTGATAATAGTCCACATAAGTCCTAAGTCCTTTCTATTAGTTTTAATAGTTAAATTATTTATTGTTCCTTTAATTTTATATAGTTTATTCTTACAATTTGTAAACATATTTCTTCTTGTTTACGAATTGCTAGTTGTAAACCTCCTTTTGAAAAATAAAATTAGCTCAAAGGTTGGCTAGTAACAATGTGTTGGATCATTTATTCTATATTTCCTTTGCAAAGATTACAATCAAGCTTGAATTTTTCATAATTTTTTAATTATAGATTCTGCTCTACTAATATTTGCTTAATTCCTTTTGGTTTATTAGGATAAATTGAATGATTGATGGAAAAATTAAACTTGATAAGTGTTGTTTAGTTCAAAATAAGTATCATACATATCATACATTATGGATCTTTTCCTCCAGGTTAAAGATTCATTTTATCTACATTTAATTTATCATTTGACATTGCAAAAGCAAGAATAGCAATTGCATTTGGATATAATGTTTCAAAAATAGGAATTGCATAATTTACAATTTGATCAAGAAGATGATCTGAAGTTCACCGACCTTCTTCATTTTTTCCTGGTTTTAAAATTTTCTTGCTTCTAATGAATTATTGAATTATTTTGAGCTATTTCCACAGGTTAAACACAAAAGAATAGGTGGCACAAAAAGGAATTCCAATTTTAGCTAATTTATAATTCAGGATAGAATAGGATAGTTGATTTTAGCTGGTCTATGATATAGGAATTCTAATTTTAGCTGATCTATAATTTAGAAATTACTATTCAGTACAGTGATTCTTTTGTATTTGACTAGTGTTTCTAGAAGAAACTCACTAACCATTATTGATTTCCCTTGTCCTTTTTTTTGTAAAGGAGATTTATCAATAGGAGCCCAAACAATTGGTCAGTCATCATTTGAATAAAATAAACATTCATCATGTGTAACTAATATATGAAAGCATTTATTTTAATCCAAGCTTGATAAAATTTCATTCATATTTTCACCATTATAAAATGTCATTAGCTTTTCATATTCTTCAATTTTTTAAGAAATTCTTTTCTGTAATTTATAACATCTTGTTTTTCATGGCCATAAAAATAAATTCCTTTTTTTAGATTGAGATTTGAGTCCAAGTTTTTGTAACCAAATATCTGCTGTTTTGATTGAAATAGATTTTCACAATGCACAAAGACCCATTTGAGGAATCAGCTTAGTTTGAATAAAGGTTTTTAGCTTTAGAAGTACTTTTTCACACATATATTTCAAACTTGCATTGATAACATCTTCATTAATTAATGATTTAGTTTTTTGATGACATCCTTGTAAAGAATTAGATAAAATACCATTTGTAACCAAACATTTTCCATTTCCTAATTTTAGTTGCATGGTAATTATTATATATATCTCTAGCTGATCTTACGCTTGCATCAGTTTTTCCTAAACCATCTTTTTTCCAATAAACAGAATATAATGTATTGCACAATATCAAAGATAGTTATATACTGTTTGTGTTTTTTTGTTTTTCATTAAAATTGATTCAAAAGTTGTAATCTTTGTTTATTTTCACTTTTGCCATCATCAGCTTTATCACCATAATTATCACCTTCACCATTGTCATCCTTTTTGCCATTACCATCATCATTATTATCATCTTCTTCTCATTATTAATATCTTCATCATCATCCATATAATTATCTTCGCTATTATCATCATTATCATCATCTTCACATTCATCATCACCATTATCATCTTCTTCGCCATTATCATAATTATATTTGTCATTATCATCATTATATTTATCTTCGCCATTATTACTTTCGTTATTATCATCTTTATCATTATTCTCGTCATCACGATTTTCAAAAATATTAATATCTTCATCTACATTATTTTAAAAAAACTGTAATTGATAAAGATGAATGTGCTGCTTTTGTAAAGAACTTGAAGGTCCATTTTTCGAAATTTGTACTTTTGTGTATGCTGCACGTTTATTTGGTAATTCAGCTTTTTTAGTCCATAATAATTTGATCAGAAGAAGTGAATTCGACTTTTTGATTAATTGTGTTTCATTTCTAGACTCTGAAGAATAATCTGCATCCGAAGGAATGTAATCTGAGGCAGTATCAGGTGCAAATTCTCCTGTTAAACTATTATGATTTTGTTTAGCAAGACGAGCTTTTGCCGCTCGTTTTGTTTTCTTTCTTTTTGGAATTATGAACGGAGACAATTAAGTGTACATGTATACATATGCTTACATATATACATGTATATGTGTGTGTGGGTGTTTATGTGTGCGCGCGGTATATGTAAAAATTAAAAAAAAATGGTTAAAAAAATTACTGATGATCTATATCACGACTGCAAAAATCTATTGGCTTAGGATCATGTGTAGACCCGATTCCTTTAACGTAAGGAATCTAAAAATACTATTTTTTAAAAAATTTAAAAAACTGTTTTTTAGTTATAGACTTCCGCACTGTATTTTTTTTTAAAAAAAAAAACTTGTTATACTAAAATAATAATAACAATATGATTAAGAAAATTTAGAACAATTATTTCAATCTTCTCTATGTAATTAAAATGTTTATGTAAATTATCAGTATTGTTATTTGTTCAATAATTTATCAAGTACAAAGAAAAGTATTGTCAGTCATTCCAAATCGGTTGATCAAGAATTTTCTTATATAACATCTGAATTTGAAATGTGAAAATAAAGAATAAGTGGTAAGCATAGTTGTAGAGTTGCTTTATAATGTTTAATTTTTCTAAATTCTCGGGTAAAGTAGGATTCTGTGCAATTCCCCACTTAATTACATAATCCCAAATCTCTAATTCCTTCATCTATAAGTCATCACGTTTTAAATAGATGTTAAAGCAGATTCTTGAAGAGAATTGAATTCTGCGGATTAAAAATAATATTTGGATGTTTTGCAATAGCACCATTAAAATTTTTTTCTAAATTTGAAATTTAATATGTTTAAAAATTGAATTATATATCCAATAATCTTTGGGTGATTTTCAACCCCCCATTAACGGCAAATCAATTTAAAGTTTCCATAATTTTAGTATCAATAAAATTTATTTTTTTAAAAAAAAATAACCAAGATGATTATTATATAAAAGTTTACTTGAGAATAATTTCAAATATTTGAGTAGAAAGTTTTGGTTTAGTAATAATTTTATCATCATTGGAACAGTATTTGTTAATTCTTTATTAAAGTAAAGCCAAATATGCAGTAAAGGTTTTTTATTTTGCTATTAATCAACTTCAATAATAACATTTTTCTTTATCATTAAGAAATTCTGAAAAGTCTTGAGACAACTTTTCTAAAAATTTAAAATTTTAAAATAACTTTTTTAGAATTTTAATTTTCCTTCCGTAATTTTAGAAAGATTTGAGGTACAAACTTTAATATAAAGAATTTTAATAAATTCTTATGTATCATTGTTACATCCGAAGAATAATTTTATACTATGTTTAACTAATAATTTAATTCCATCTTCACCGGAAGAAAGAGGAGAAAGAGGAGAAAAAAAAATGCAAAAAAAAATTAAGAATTCAATTTTTTATTAATTAATTCTTCCGAGTATTTCCATAATTTTAAAGCCAAATCCTCATCAGTTCCTGATTTTTCGGGGTTACTTAATTTTCCATTTGGTACAAAATATTTTCCTCTTAAATTTTTTTCAATAATTTCCGGACTGGTAGCACAATAAAGTGATGTCATGGCTCCTTCTTCAGATGAAATCATGATCAATCCAGTTATCATTTCTATGGGTTTTGCCAAGAATCCCATGCTATCTTTCAAATTACGGTATAAATCTGTTTTGACGACACCTATATTTATAATATATATTTTTATAAATATTTTTTATATATAATAATGATATCGATAATAATACAATAATAATAAATACCTGGGTGAACAGAATTCACATAAACTTCTTTATCAGCGAGTCTTTTATTGAGTTCTAAAGAAAACAAAATATTTGCTAATTTTGATTGACCGTATCTTGAAAACGAGCCATAAGCATTGGGATTATTTAGATTTTCAAAATCAATTCCACATTTAGGGGCGCGATTATGTGCCAAACTATAGTAATTATGATTTATATTAATTCATTTATGAGATTTATAAGCAAATTCATTTCATTAGTGCAAATTCAGTATGTATATTTAGTGAGAAAAAAAATACCTGGTGAGGTTGACTATTCTAGAAGGTGCAGAAGCTTCGATTGTGGGCAAGAGTTTTATTGTAAAAAGCTATTAATATATTAAATGTACATATTATAATATATGTTATTATTGTATATAATAATAAATAATAATAAATACGTATATATATAAATTTTATTACATACAAAATGACCAATGTGGTTAATTCCAAATTGATCTTGGATACCATCTTCTGTTAATGTGAAAGGACTAGAAAAAAATATTATTGTACAATAGTAATAAATACTACTGTAATAAATTATAAAAACATTTAAAAAATATTTAAAAATATTTAAAAATTTACGTTGCCATTATTCCAGCATTATTAACACTAAATTTATAAAAATAAAAGATAATTAAATTTAAATTGTTAATTAAATATTCGAATAATTTTATGTTATATTATTAACTTACAGAATATGTAACGGTAATTTTCGATCTAAAAACAATTCCGTTGCTTTCAGAACCGATTTTAAACTTGATAAATTTAATGGTAAATATTCTACTTTATCATTTCCTGTCACACGCTTTATTTCACTTATCGCCTTTTCACCTTTCGTTTGATCTCTACATGCCACAAATACATGTGCATTTTTACGTGCTAATTCTTGTGCTGTAATAAATCCTATTCCTGTATTTGCTCCGGTCACAATTGCGATTTTTCCTTGAAGGTCAGGAATATCGTTAATTGTGAAATTAGTTGATTTATTAAAAATATCAAACATTTTTTCTTCTTTTAAAAATAAAATAAAAAATAAAATATTGTTGATCGTTTTTTAGCGAAATAAACGATAATTTATATATTTTATTTAAATCGGTATGATCACAAAAATGGTATAAATCCGAAAGATAATTAATTCCTATTTAGTATTATTTCTATAGTTTGGTATACGTAAAATACTGAGAATTATTACGAAGTTAGATTATTAGATGGCTATACAGTATTCATCTTTGAACCTTGGATACATTCATAGGCCGACCTTAATGGGGAAATATTATACCCACCTGCCGTAATAGAATTTAATACGACTGTATGATTTGATTTACCATATAAACACAAAAAAGGATTATAACCCCAATAACGACTAGAAGTACGAATTTTATGGCTATTTTTGTAAAATCGTACCGTGGCAGATGCCGTAATTCTGGCCGTAATTATGCTACATATATAATCGGAAATAATTAGTAATCGTAATTACATATAAATCTTTAAATTCATGAAATTTTTTTAGGCAGGCGTAATTCATATTACGTAAAATTACGCACCACGTAATTATACGCATATAATTTACGTAATTATATGTGGATCTACGTAAATTACGTATACCGGAGATTTACGCCTAAAAAATTTCGGATGCTTAAAGCTCAAAATGATACTAAGTAAATCTAAAGACAAGAATAAACTGTAAAAATTTAAACCCTCAAATTTACAAATTGAGAGAATGATAACCGATTTAAATTCTCGGCCGTCAATGAAATGGGTATAAAATTCTTGAATTAGGTGTCATTTCATCATTTTTATACATACAGTATATAAGTTAAATACCGATTTTTATATAATACTGATATTATGACGGAGTTACGGCATTGTCGCATAATTGCAACTATGTGTTACAATCCTATAGTTGCTTGTCTTATAATGATAAGGTTTAACGATCAAGATTAATATTCTTTAAGGGCTATTCAAATCAAATTACCGAAATTTTCTTACGAATTTTCTTCCAATTTACGAAAAATGATCATATAATATTCATTATCACTTATTGAAATTAATAAAAAACAGACGCGTCTTTCATCTTCATTCTTCCTGCATAAATATCAATAAATGAATTATCAAAACATTTGTAACGGCCGAGAGATTATTGAATTAATTTGACTAAATTAGTTTGCGAAAAATTCACTTCGTATTATTATCATTTAATACATTTACTGCGCACAAAGATATAACAGAACGCAATATTAAACTTTAATTAGATGACAATCCCAAATAATATGTTTATTTTTGTATATACTCCAAAGAAAAATCAGGTCACTCCATGATCCCAAATTTCTTTATCATTTAATTTTTTTTTCATGGTTGTAATATTAAAAAATATTAAAAGTTTTACAAATAGATTGTTGTCAAATGTAAACATGTATAAAGATAATAAACTTAAAAGACGAATTTACTGTCACTATCTTTTTTTTAAAAAAAAATTATTTCGAGACTCTTTATTCACGAATTATATAAAGTTAGTTTGGTTTACAATGTCATAAATCACAGTCACTGGCTATGCAATAAAATATCACTATCACAATTATATGACATAAATTTGTGCAAAGTCCTTTTAAATTAAATAACCAATTCAGATATCTAAATGTATAACGTTCTATATCGATTATAGAGTTGCATTGTTTGATTCTAAAATTAGAAAATTTTAAAGTGTATGTATAACCGATCACAATGCATTCATAAGAAAAAATTCATAATATAATAATTTAAAAGATATCTTATTTTATTTAATCTAAAGGGGTTTGCACATTCTGAGTCTGTCCCATAATAATATATAAAACAAACAAATAATACAAAGCGTTAGAAGTCGTACTAATTTAGATGAATCATGTTTGCAAAATCAAAAATTGGTTTTCATTAATGAAATCTTTCGTAAATAAACATATTCTCATAATACAAACAATAACTATTTAAAGAAAGATTTTTCAGCCATAAAAAAAAAAATAACGTTCAAATTAGGATTTCTATTTGAAGATGATTTAATAACTAGGTTGGGGTTGCGTCGCGCAAATGTACATGTATTCAAGATTTTTATCAAAATATGTGATAATTTATTATGTTTACTTTCTGTGTAATAGTCAATAACATTCATTCTATGCGTTACATTTTTTTTTTTTAAAAAAAATTATCGGAAGGGTGTGTAGAATCTACAAAAATGTATTTCTCACTTAAATTCATTTTTTGCATTTTCTTATTAATAAATTATGTTTTATGCTATGTACCACTCCAAAGAGCTTATCATAATGGTGTAATAGTCAATAATCAACTCTTAATATTGGGTGGATTAAAAAATATCGAAACTGAAGAACAATATAAAGTTGCATTTGAGTTATTCTATTTGGATTTGTCAAAGTCATTTGATACTATGGCGGCAAACTTATCATGGAATTTAATTCCTGAGGGAAATCTTCCCGTATATACATGGTTTTCAACTGCTGCCGTTAGTTCAAATAATTCTACAATATTTCTAATTGAAGGATTCATAATGGATAAGTATTTAAATTATGATTTTTCACATCAAATTTATACATATGACTACCCTACTAAAAAATGGGATACACCATCATTTCCTGATATTCCTCCTAGACAGCTTATAAAAGGAGTAAATGATAAAGGAATTATATATATATTTGGTGGATTCAACGCCACCAATATAACTCAATCAGGATATTTAGGATCGTTTTACAATGATATATATATATTAAATACTGTTACAATGAGTTGGAATCCATTAAGCATATCTAAAAATCTTCCTTTGCCATGTGGTGGTTATTCAGCTAACCTTTTACCAAATGGATTGATTGTCTACATTGGCGGACTTCAAAATACTGGTAATTCTTCAAAATATACTCCTGTGGACATAAATAATGTAAGAAATCAATCAATTTAAATACAAAAATATAATTCCCAAATTTATTTTTATTAAAAATTAATATATAATTCTTTATTATTCTCAAATAGATCAGACTCTTTGATACTAAAAAATATGAATGGTCAGAGATGGTATGTATTTGATATTAATTATGAAAATATATAGAATATTGTAAATTTTTAACCAAATAAATATAATATTTTTAATTTTAAGAATGCTGTTGGCGAAACTATTGATTCAAGATCGTATCATTCTTCTGTGTTAAGTAAGTATTCAAATTATTTAAATTATTTTTATTTCTTTAAAATATAAATTTTAAATTAATGTACATTAAATACTTTATATAGCACCCGATGGATATATTATTATGTTAGGGGGTTGTCTTTTTGAAGAGGAGTATAGTAATATTTCCTTTGTTAGTCCAGATTTTGCTTTGTTGAATACAAACAAATCTCCTTTTGAGTGGTCCATTCCAGAAAGTTCTAAAATCAATTCTCCACCATCCTTGCATGGCCATGAAGCAAATTTATATTATAATTATATGATAATTACATTTGGTTTTTTAGTTGGTAAGTTGATTTTATTATTTATCATTTATCATCTTTATAATTTAATTAATGACATTTTGTTTAAATTTCTTAGGAAATACTACATGGAGAAATTCAACATACAATGAAAATGTATATTTGTGTGATATAACAAATAACCAATGGGTTACAAGTTTTAATCCTCCTGTTATTGATATTCCAATTAATGAAAAGTCATCATCAAAAACTTTAGAAATTGGGCTTGGGCTTGGAATTGGTGGTGGTGCAGTTGTTATTCTAATTATAATTGTAGTTTTTATTATTCGCAAAAGAAAAAATAAAATTATTAGAATGCCTGGAAATATTTAAATTGAAATATTTACATATTTATGTATAAAAGAACTACTGATTCTAGATCTCGTGCGTGAGTTTATAAATATTAGTCGATGGAATAATTGGACAAAAGAACTTAATTCATTTTACATCAATATTATATATTCTATATTAATTATTTTACGTATGAATCAAAAAATTTTATACTTTAATGCAATAATTATTCTATTTAATATTTACGTACAGTAATTACAAAAGTATTTAAATTTAATACATTCTCAAGTTAAAATTAAAATAATTCCTATATTTAATAAATTATTCTTAATTTTGAATCCAATATCTTTGCTTTGTCTATTATTTTAGTATTTTATTTTTTTATAATTTCCAAAATTATTTAAATGGGAGTCAAACTATACTTGGTATTTCTTGATATTATTTCATTTCTTCAAATAAAATATAACAAAAGAAATTAATTAAGTTAGAAAAGAATTGTCTATTAATTTAGTTTCATCATTTTTGAGGCAAAATATTTAATTTGACATTAATTTTTTTTTTTCAAGAAAAAAAAATGAATATATATTATATAAGCAATTATGAATAGTAAATTTTTCAAATAAAGTAGAATAATTTCATTTTCATTTTTCAATTTCAATAATATCTTCAGAACCATTGTGATTCGTTCGTACTTACTTGTTGTCCACGATACTTATTCTTCGAAGTTTAAGTCAGAAAAGACATGACTTACCAAAATTCTAATTTGCCATTTTCTGGAGTCACTAAAGATTAGTTAACTGTGAAGTGTATAGTTGTAAAAAACGATACGATATACCCATGTATACTAAAGATGATAAAAGCGCCTAACGTTATTTCTAAATCATAATTTATAATCATTAATTATTACATGGAATTGTTTCTTAAAATATGTAATTAGTAATCTTTATATGAAAATAAGACTTTAATATAAAAATGATTATAATCTAAAAAGATCAAAGTTAAAAATATTTCATAGGAAATGCTATTTGTCAATAATTTGAATTGAAAAATATTTGTGTGTTTCTAATAGGTTTTTCATAAAGTCTATCTCCATTGTTGCTGCGCAAACAATAACTATCTTAGATATTTTCTCATTCTAAGATCCTCATTCCCAAAACGTAAACATATGTTGATTGAAATTTTATAATAATCGTTTGAATATTTTACTCTGCTAAGAATAGAATTTTGAATATTTTCCATTTTTCAATGAAAATATAAAATTATCTTTTGTTTTTTTTCCAAACAACTTCAGTATTTTTATCCCATTCTAAGAGATTAAATCCTCCTAGAATTTCATCTGTTCTAAAAGGCCACAGTGTTAATGGCATATATCCCAAAATTTTTGTGGAGCAAAACCATCTCTGCTTCCTCCTAAATCTAACTTAAATTCAAATGGCATGTCTTGTAAAGAATATAGAGTCGATTTGCGATCAATCCATGACGAAATCTCCAATGCATGTTCTTCTTTGATTATATTTGAAAATGGTTTATTTTCTCTTGGAGGAAATGTTGTAGAAATTAAAAATTGATCTTACTGGCAAAATAATTGGTTTAATCTGGAAGTATGAGATATTGTTCATCAAGAATTTTCTTATAAATGTTGGAGAGTGGTTTTTAAAGTCAAAAAGTTTCCATTAGACTATTCTTCTAATTTCACAGGCAAATCAAGATTCTGAGAAATTTCCCCACTTGATAATATATTCCCAGACTTTATCTCCTTCCATTTGTAGATCATCTTGCTTTAAATATATAAAAGTTTTCCAATTCTTTGAATTTGGTAAATTTAAAAATTGAAAGAAAAATGAGTTCTTAACTAAGATTCTTTATCTTCAATAAGGTAACTTTCTAATCTTTTAAAAAGTTCTTCAAATTCCAACTCATTAGCAGTATCATCAATTCATAAATAGTTTTAGTATCCACATTTTCCACCATATATCTGATTTTTTATTAATAATGATTCATTTTAAAATAGGGTAAGACGGTTGAGTGCGCAGTGAATGATTTTTTATTTGTCTATCAACTTCAATAATGATATTATATTCTTCATTGTCATCGAGCTGAATTTATTATAAATATTACTTATATATGGTCACACGAGCACAATTATAAGACAATAAATATTGGAATACTATAATTAAATAAACAAAATTTTTTTATTTTGAACGTTATTTTGAATAAATTATTTTTTTCACAATTCTATTTGTCATTAAAAGAAAATTGATAACTATAACTATATTATAATGTAATGTTAATTTAATATATTGCAATTTAATAAAAAATAATAAATAAATTCGTAAATTTTTTTGGGATGGGTTTTTTGGAATTCTAAAATCTAATTTCATTTATCTCAATTTCTCACAAATGGATTTATCAAAATTTTTTCTTTCGATTATTTTAGACTTAATATATACATCAGCATAATTCATAAATAGCATTACCCAGTAATTTTTAAATTTATCATCATTTTGGGATGATATTAATTGTTATACAGAAAAAGAAAATAGAAATAATAAAAAAAAAAAAAAAAACACACATAAATTGTTTAAAAAAAAAAAAAACATATTACCTGTTAGCCCTTATTTAATGATTTAATTTTATTAATTTACATTAATCAACTGTCTCGATCAATTGACAAACTGACTAAACTGTACTGTTTAGGGAGAATCCATGATCATGATATCAAGAGTATCAATATGACTAAAATGTTGTAATGCTGAAACTGCCGATGAAACACTTGATCTTGTTCCAGTTATACGAATTTGAGAAAGAGAAAATTGTCTTGGATCGACATCAACTCCTAAAGCACTAACAGTTGCTGCAATATTTGTTGTAGTATCAGCAGTAGAAGTCGTAGAAGAAGTAGTAGAAGAATTATTTTGTTTATTTTTTTCTTCTTCTGCAGCAGCAGCAGCTTGATCTCTTTGTGTTGAATCTTCCATGATACGAATACGTTTTTCTTTTCTGTTAGATGTCCACGTCAGATAATGATTACCGCCAATAGCTTCAAATTCTTTATATGATGATTTGAATTCTGGTGTCCAGAAAAGGATTTGATTGATATGACGTACGTAACATAATCCTGTTTGTATGGCATCCGCCATCCAATTATGGTCTTTGCTAAAGCTAAATTAAATTAAATTAAATTAAATTAAATTAAATTAAATTAAATTAAATTGATTAAATTAAATTAAATTAAATTAAATTAAATTAAATTAAATTAAATTAAATAAATAAATAAAATTAAAATAAAATTAAAATAAAATTAAAATAAAATTAAAATAAAATTAAAATAAAATTAAAATAAAATTAAAATTAATACTAACGCAATTGCAGTGGTGTTTTTTAATAAACATTCTTGACAACATCTCACTTGAAATTGCCAATAAACTTTAACCATTTTTCGTGATTTACAATATTGACATCTAGTTAATAATTTTCCAAATCTAATATATTCTTCTTCATACATTCCTTCAGGTGGTGGTAATTGAAGACCAGGTAAAAAGTTTACTCTGGAAGTTCGCCAAATATCTTGTGTGATTGAAGATTGTGGTGAACACAAGAAACCACGAAATCTTCTACAAACACCTGTCAATGATAAAAGGTCTTCGGGAGATAAATGTTCACAGATTTTAATAAAAATTTCTGGAGGAATAGTTATCGCGATAGCCTCCTGAGTGGTAGTTTGAGTCATTGTACGGGAATTAGTGGAATCGGTAGTAGCACATGAAGACGATTCTGCAGTTTTTGTTGAAACGTAGGATGCCATTTTTATATCTTTAGATTTGATCTTTTTCGATTTGGGTGCCTCTGAGTTCATTTAAATATGCTGTTGTTGCTTTTAAAAAGAAAATTAAGTTTTAAAAGAAAATTTTATGTATATACAATCAATATCTTTTGAGATCTAAATAAAAAATATTATATTCAACCTACAATAATAATAAAAAAAAAGGTGTGTAACACCTTTAAAAATATGAAATTATGTCTTTCGTAAAGTGTATGTTCATTTGATTACAATGAATTCAACCTAGATCTAAAGGCCGTTTATTAGAACTCAACACCTAGAGAATCGAGTTTACACAATTTACAGTTTGATGAGAACTACAAATTGCTTATTCCTAAAAACGTATCACTAAAAGTGTCTCACATGTGTTTGGTTGAGCGCCACAATAGCTAATAACTTGGTGACACCTTACATAACTATTACAAAATTGTCTTTTTTTATTAATAATAAATTTAAGATTTATTGAAGAGCATGCACGATAAGATGATCATACACATTGTCGATTTTAAAAATATCGATTTAACAATATCAATTTATATATTAAAAAAAAGACAAGTTTTTTTTTTCTTTGATTGTATTATGATCACCATTATTAAGCATTAAACGCTTAAATTTTATTAAATTTATTAAATTATATTCTATTATGTATTATTGTTATTTACAATATTTCGATCAAAATTCTCGAATAATTCAATAATTAACTATGCATAATCCTTCACATCCGTCATATCCTTCTTTCCCATCCCACACTTCTATTTTTTCCATTCATTCCATGCTTTCCATTCTCTTCCAGTACTTTCCAATACTTTCCAATACTTTCCGATACTACGAGGAGATGGGTTTTGATTCTCGAGGTAAACCCTCCATCCACACCATTATTAAAAAAATTCGTAGCAGTCAAATCTATTGTATATGTGTAATCACCCACCAATATTGATAAAGTAATTCCAAAATAAGAAAATTTTATTGAAAGTTTTTCAATAACATAAATATTTATATGTAAAAATAATAATACAACAAATCTAGAAATTTTGTTAATTTCCAAATTAGTTATTATCAAAATACCTTCGGGAGGAATACTTCGAGATCACGTTGGAGGTAAAAAATTGGGGAGATGGGATACTTGAAACGACGCTCTTTCTAATCTCACGCTGTAAGATTTCATGTTATGATTGAATTGAATTGATGTGGTCTAAAGTTAGATGACCCAACATCAAAAAAAATCAATTGATCAATTTGAAGGACCCGAACATATTAATTCTTCAGATCCACCAAAATTTGGTAAATGTTTTTGAGATAAATCAAGATCAGGTGAATTAAGCAATCGAGCAAGAGCTTTCGAGGCGGCTTGTTTTTTCGCTTCTTTTTTATTACGACCCTCACCTTCACCCGCTATTATTCCATTAATTTGCACTTGAATAGTGAAACGTGGATCATGAGCGATTCCTTCAACTTTAACTTCTCGATAAAACGGTATTGGGAAACCTTTTTTAAGTGACCAAGTTTGTAATTTACCTATAGGATCTTGATGTTCTAATGAAAAAGGTAATTTTAAATCTTCCGGACCAAGCATAGGTGGTATTTTTTCTCGTTGTAATTCCGATATTCCTGGTAATAAATTTATTGGGGTTCCTGCCATTGGTTTATTTAATTCTTCTACTAATGGACCAACAAAGGGTTCTAAAAATTCTAAAACACATTTTAAATCTTTTCCCGAGTCCAAAAAAATAGCACCAATATATGCTTCAAATGCATCTTCCAAAATTTTTTCATTATTCCTTGAATTTGATGAACCCGCCCCTAACCGCAGATCTCTATCTAGACCCAATCGGCCAGCAAAATTCGCTAAAGTTTGTTTACATACTATTTTTGCTCTTAGCATGGTCAGTTGACCCTCTTTATAATCCGGATATTTATTATATAGGTAATCGGCAACGACGAAACCTATTATTGAATCGCCGAGAAACTCTAATCGTTCGTTATGATGACCCGACATGGGATTTTCGTAGCAATATGATTTGTGAGTTAGGGCTTCGAGTCGCAATTTATCATTATTGAACTTTCGTTGTGGTATTGGTTTAAATAAGGAACTCATTTTTAGATGTTGCTGTTGCTTTTGTTGAAGATGGTAAATGCAAATAATATTTTTGCTAAAAAAAGATGTGACACAGATGTACAATGTGATGAATGCAAGAAAAAAAATTTCAAAATTTCTAATTTTGAAGATAATAGTGAGATAATAGATAAAACTGATGAAATTGATAGTGCAAAATTTCTGTGACAGAAATATTAACAAAATCTACAGAATACTTTCAGATAACGCTTGAAAAAAATGTTTTGGAATCGAGAATTTGCGGTTTTTCCAGCATTTAATATTATGCAAAACGGTTGATCTTACCTAATTTGTAAACAAAACGAACGCCACAGGTTTTGTTCCTCGACTAAGTAATTAATCGACTGCATGAAGCACGTGATTATGGAATCAAATAAATTAAAAAAATTATTTCTCGTCAAAGACAATAATAAAATTAAGTTATGTTTTCGGACACAAAACCGCATCATTTAATAAATCGAGGCATTGTATTCAATACACTAATCAACAAAGAGTGCCTTAAATACATTCAACTTCAAGGGTTTGTTCCTGAATTTGGATAGTCACGTGATAATAAAGGAGAGGAGACTTTTGTTGAATAATAAATAATGTCGATGGCTAAATTTTATCTATGTCGAAAGCTAAACCATTATTTGACATGTGAGATTTGTAAAATATAATATTATAAATCAATAAATCAATAAATCAATAAATATAAATACCCGATATATATGCGTAATACGTAATTATGATCAACTAATAATAATCAACTAATAAATAAAAGATAATAATAAAATAGATAATTAAAATTAAAACAAATAGTAAAGCAATGATGATGGGAAAATGAACAACAACAATAAAATTACAAATAAATTATATTTATTTATCTTATTTATTATATTTTTATTGTTTGCCTTCATTTCATTCGTTCCATATATTAAATACCTCAATTGTCCGTTTAATATATATATAGTTGAGATCAAAAAAAAAAAAAAAAAAAAAAGTCTTTGATTACTTTTTCAGTCACAAAGACGAAATGCAAGAAATATAAATTAATCCATTGAAAGAAAAGTTCTTTCCCCTTAATTCAAGTAACTCTATTTTCGAATCATTTTATAAATATTTCAAATAAATCTGTAAGATGAAAGAAAAAAAAAAGAGATGAGATTTCTCTAAAATAGGGATTAAAAAGTACTTCTAAAGAGATTAAATGGTTAGAAAACGATTTGAAAGAATGAACACAAATAATTTTATTTAACTTTAGAGAATAACAGGATAAAATGAAATTAATAATAACAGAGTATAAATATGAAAGAATTGAAAAATTCAAATTCGAGAAAAGTTACAACAGACACTGCATTACATTTTATTATTACTTAATCATTAAATAGCTATATTTGTAATCCCACTATCCTATTTTGTCATCTCATTTAGCTGTATATTATGTAAATTTATTTTTAATTATAGTAAATACAGAATAAATTAGACCATATTGGAATTCTGTTTTCTTTATCTTAATATTACATGAGTTGGAAAATTCAAAGGTTTTTGATTTTTTTGATTAAACCACTATATAAAATTTAGTTATAGGTTTTTTTTTTTCTTTATATTTTATATTAATCGTTATATACAATATAAAAAAAACAAGGATTGTTAATAACAATAATGTCAAAGAATAATATTTCTTATTATTTTCGATCTTTTCATAATTATAACAGATAATAATATATTTTATAGATTATGAATTTTTGATCAATAATAAATTCTGTATTGAATAGAAATTTTATTTTGCTTCATTTTTTATCATTATTTATTTCAACGATAAAAAAAATATAATATATAATAAAATTTATAATTCTTAAAATTTTATTATCACACGTATACTTTTACAAAAAGAATGATCTTGTTGTTCAAGGCATAATTTATATGTACGAACAAAATAGAAAATTGAGATGAGGATAAAAAGAAGATGATGAAATAATAATTTAATGCTAAAATTAATTATTATCTTCCAGAAAAAATATATATCAAATAATACCGCATTAAATCATTAAATCTAATATTACATATGTATTATTAGCAAATAATTTGTTCCATAATATCAAGTATACGACATCAATAATAACATTATATTCTTCTTTTTGCATTTTTTGCATTTTTTTGCATTTTTTTGCATTTTTTTGCATTTTTTAAGTTGATAAACTCAAATAAAAAATCATTCACTGCGTACTCGACCGCCTTACGTTATCAATCATCAGAATTAAAATTATCGAATGTAAATGAAAATATTAAAATTATTATTAAATCAAACATTCTTCCCAAATATTTGAATTTATTCTCAAAGTAAGTTGAATATATTAAATATATTATATATGTTAGATGTTTATTTCTATTTAATAACGGTGGTAATAATGATAACTAAATAATAATTTACCAAAATTATTCATAAATTAATGATTAATGCTAATGAAGAACTTTCTAAAAAAAATGGAATGTTCCTTATTTAATCTAAAGCTTCTTGGTTAAGATCCCATTTTCTTTCGTTCATCGTTCAATTTTTTAAAATTAACAAAAATTCAAAGAATTGGAAAATTTTATGATAATATTATTGTAATCTTATTTTTGAAATCTGAGGATTTCACATCTCTTCAAGAATTAGCATTAATATTTATTTTAAAGCATGATGACACGTAAATGGAAGAATCTCGATTTGTTTATGAAGTTAGAAGTATGGTCTAATGGAAACTTTTTGACTTTAAAAATTACTCTCTAACATTGTTAACGGTTGGAGTTTTATAAATTCCATGAACAACACAACATATATGCGTATCTTTCATTGTCTTATGTATTACAAATTATTACAAATGCTCACTACGACGCGAATATTGCTATTGACGAAGAACCTTTTTTTAAAAAGGAGACAATAATTCAAAAAATTAGAAAGATTGGAATCATAAATATTGAAAAAGGTTGGATCATGTGATATACAGTTACGTCAATGAAGTTTTGAGGTTTATTTAAAATTTTTTGATTAAATTGTTGGTGGTGCTTCCTGCTACTCGATTTCTGTTTTTGTTCCGACGGTTTCTTTTTTTTTGAATGAAATAAAGGACGAAAAATCTTATTTCTGGCACTTCATTTTTCTCTTCGTATGAGATTTATTCCAAGCGATTTTCTTTTTTCTTGATCGAGAATCTTGGTGGCTGATCTGGCGTTTTTCCAAAACGGGATTTACCAAATTTGTATGATTTACGTTTTTATAATAATTCTAGAATTAACGTCGAGGCTTGTTTCAGGAAACTAATAAGAAATCAATTATAGTAATAAGTTGTTCTTTGTCATACCGCTGAAACAGGATCATTTGTTTGATAATACATAAATAAGCTTTCATTTCCTCACTCAATATAGCGTTTTGATAAATTAATTAGTTTATTATTAATAATTAATATAATATTCTATATTAATGTATTATTATATTTAATATAACAAATAATAAATTTATTAAAATTATTAATTACTTTCATGAAATCCATGCAGTTTCCCAAGGATATTGTGAAGGTATGGGAGGCATAAGTGATCTTTAATGTTTTATTTATTTCTTATATTTGTGCAAATTCTTTCAAATAAATATAAATTTTAATTATTTAATAATTTTGTAAATGAATTAATAATCCATGGATTTATATTGATTACATGCAATACGCTTGAATATTTTATTTTCGTATGACTGTTCATTACCTTGATCATGTTTCAATAAATTGTACAATTACTGGTTACAATATTCCAAAGAATTAGCCAATAAAACTTTTTGACTTTTATATAAAAGTTCTCGTTATTTCTTATATTCATCGTTGTTGATTATCGTGACGTTTATTCCATTATTCTTTTAAATTTACATTTCAACTTTTTAGTTTTTTTTTTTTACATTTATTAATTCCTCCATTTGACTCATTCATTTGACTCATTCATGACTTTTTAATTCATTATATAAATTTTCAACTTGTGCTTTAAAATATTCACATTCCCGAATTCTATTATTGTCAGCTTTAATAGTTTGTGGTTGTTTAGAATCGTCAGTTACAAGATTTTTTAGTGTATTACAAAAATTATTATCTATTGTTACTTGAATTCCAATGTCAACAATTGTTGGAGAATCAAATTTTGATATGAAGTCATTATTATTAATTGTTGCGGCTTCTTTTTCGAGGATTCTTTTTTTAAATAATTTATAGTTTCTTTTGCAACAATTTGATTGTAGTATTTTTCACAAAGAGAGTATTTTTTTTATTCATTTTTGATAACACTTAACTTAGAAAAATAAGGAATAAAAAAGTTGAATTCTTTTTTCAATAAAATTCATAGAAGCACATTTTCGTATATTGAACAAGTGTAGCGAACAACATGTTTTTACTATATTAAATAAAATGCATAAACTTTTAACCCATTTTTTGTATAAAAGTAGTTCATAAATTTATCGAATCAAATTTCCCGAAAATCCGACTGTAATAATAAGAGGTTCCTTTTTTTGATCTATTCATTTGGTCGAATATTTGGACCAAATTTGGATAAAGTTAAATGAGAAGGTAACAAATATTACGAGTTGGTGCAAAATCTTGTTTTTAAACAAGAGGTACGATATCCATATTCCATAAAACTCCAAGGATTGTAAAAATCATTAAACAGAGAAACATTTGTAGTTAGATTAATGATTAAAGAATACGAAATATTGGCTAAAAAAAAGATTGTTATGAATGATATAATCCCGCTGTAAATGATCAAAAAATCATGATTAATCATAAAAGTTAAGACTCGAATTTTATTAAAGTTTGTATTACACTTGGCATTACATTTTGTAATTAGATAAAATTTTTAAAAAAAGAGTTGGCCAAACTCAATCGGAATAATGTCTTGTATCCCTTAATATATAAGAAATATATTTTAGTAATTGTGTTCCGATTCTTTATAAACTTCAATCTACTTAAATTTAAAAATTTCCTGAAAAATTATCTCAAGATTTTGATAAACTTCATGATGGTAATGAAGAATATAATATTATTATTGAAACAAATAAAAAATTCTTCAATAGTCTTTCATCCTATTTCAAGAATGAATTGATGAAAATATTATTGAAATTACTATTTTTTTCTCAAATTAAAACGGTATTATATACACAACCACTTTTAAATTTACTTAATATGAAAACCCATTTTTTAAAAATCCATATTGGATTTAAAAAATCTATAAGAATTATTTATTTTAAAGGTGTTTTAATAGATGATAAAAATCTCAATATATTTTTAATTCATCAATATCAGTATTATCGGTAAAAATTATATTTTAAATATAGTTTTAAATATAGTGAAATTTTTACTAATCCGCCGATCATGTGCAGATAGTTATGTATGCCCTAAATAAAACAGATTTTATTTCTTATTCGATCTTGAAACGGATAAAGAATAAACAATAAATTATTAGTTATTTTTTTCTGACTAATAGATATAGTGAATAAAGGTGAAGGTAACGAACCTTACCTGGTTAAGGCATTAATTGATACATGTGAATGAAGCTTAGTTTGATAAACTAAAAATAAAATATAACGACCCACCAAAATATATTAAAAAATACATAAAGGATGCTGTAGATATTGTGAATTATCTTTTCGGTTTAAGGAGTGGGATATGTTATCTGATGATGATGTTTATAATGATTTGTTATTAGGTTATGGTTGCGTTGCGTCAATCAAAAATCTGTGATAAGGAACCAAAGAACCATGCTATAAATCAGATTTTCCCTCCTCCACCTCCCATTCCAAGTAGATGCCCTGATAAAGAAAAAATTAGAAGATACAATCTAGATTAATGGATGAAATAGAGAGGCATCTTCGAAAAGATGCAAAAGCACATTATTCGCAATAAAAAGAAACAAACATTATTCCATCAGTAATAAATTCTGACTCAAACACTATTCCTTCGTCCAGTTCGGGATCAGAAATTATACATGTGCATAAGACCGCATCCGTCCTAAACGAAAACATCGCAAAGGGAGAATGTGTAACAAATTATCAATGCATTAATTATTTTTCTGGAAGGATGAATATTTTAGGATCGCACAATAAATGTACATTAGGTCCGAAGACAATGGGTGTTAGGATGGGGAATATAAATCGAGGTTTTAGATATCTAAATTTTTTTGCATTACTTATTTCTATCTGCTTGTCGTTCCAACAATAAAATTTATCTGAAGCGAAGCGTCATAAATATTCAGTCATTTTGTTATTCAGCCATCAATTATTATTCATTTAATTTACAATTCGATACATATATTTTTTATACAACAATTTTAAATCCGCACAAAGAAGGATTAAGAATTTTAAATGTACCATTTTCAATGAAACATAAACTATCTTTTATTTCATCCAACCAAAAGTTGTGTAAAAAAGGAATTAAAACTGACTTTTCTATAGAACAAATTGAGTTTCTAATAAAAAAGACATTGTAGTTAAAAAATGATTATTCATTACAAGCTGTTATGTTTGAAGGAATTTGTCCACAATCTATTTTGCTTAATGACCAGCCAGCTTCGTAGCCATCAACTTTGTAACATGTATCTTGACTATTGTCAATATTATCTGAATCATGAGCAGTTTTATAAATATAGATGTGAAGACAATATTTGGAAAGTGATGTTGAAGTCTAAACACTAGACATTCAGATTGATCGCTGGTAAATTTTAGATTATCTAGATACGTTACAACTTCATAATTATTATCCATGCTCTCGACCAGAAAATAGATTTGAGTTTAATCGTTGATACATTTACTATACATAACGTAAATTAAAATATAAAATAGAAATAGTAGATATTGGTACCGTGAACTATAAACGTCGTTGAACTTTTTTTTTAAAAAAAAATATTTAATTACCTTCATATACATTAGCAACTAGGCAGAAAATTTTGAAAATGGTAAGAGTGAGGAAGATATTGTATTTCATTATTAAAAATACAAGACTGTGTTTCGATATTAATTTCTTATCTTTATTTTTTTTATTATACGTTCACGACACATTTATATAAGAAATTCATTTGCTATTTATCTCATCCTGTAATCACCTCGATAACGTTTTCTTAAAATTAATCTTCACTATCTAAAATTTTTTCACATTTATTTCTTATCAATTAACGCACAAGGCATAAAGAATAAAAATTAAGTACGTTGAAAATATTGATAAAATTTTTCAATATATATTTTTATTTCACAATAATATAATGAATTTCAGATGGTGTCATTTATCTAACCTATTTTAAATTAGTAATCTACAATATCTCGAGTGAAAAATCTGAATCACATGCCATAATTATTTTGCGAGTTTAGGTCATTAGAAATTTTCGATTGACAAGTATTTTTAAATTTTCAAATTTGTTTCTGTGAAGTTATTTGATATTAAAAGTTCAAAAAAGACGAAATTTTCGTATAATTTTGCAAATTTAAACTATTAAAACAATTTATGTTTTAAATATAATTTTTTTATTCAAATATGTTACGAAAATCTGATGCGCCCAACCCTTAAATTGTATACATAGAATACATACAAATTATTTTTTACATTAGACTGCACATGGTTGCCGAATTAGCAATCAAATAATTTAACATATGGACCTAAACTTTTGAGACGGAAGCGTATATTGGCTTCGATTATTGAAAACAATTGCTTCCGTATAATAATAATGAATAGTAATTAATAATTCTCTATATATATTTATACCAAAACTGTTTAGAAATTGGCAATTATTGCAAAGAGTTCGAATTGAAGACTTTCTGGGAAGCTAATTCAAAGAATTAGAGAATTTTTATATTATTATTTTTATAAAGTACCCTAATCCTATTTTTGAATCTGAAGATTTCAATTATCTCCAAAAATCAACATTAGTATCTATTTTAAAGCAATAAGAACTTGTTATTATGGAAGAATGGACAGATAAGAATTTAAAAACTACTATCCAACATTGCTTACCACTCATTCGTTTTTTTACATATCTAGTGAAGATATTATGAATAAATTCAAACCTTTTAGGAAAATTCTTGATGAACAACTTTAGGATGATATCTTATACTACAACATTGCCCTCAAGAGAAAATAAATTAATTCCCGCAAGAGAAAGTAAATCAATGAGGAACATGTGTTAGAGGTTTTATCATGAATTGATCGCAAACCCTCTCTATATTCTTTAAAAAACTTCCTATGTTCTTTCCATATAATCTTAAGTTGGTTTAAAGAGAATAAATATACAGTTCTTTGTTGGTAACAGAAGATAATTTTATATTTTCATTAAAAAATGGAAATATTCAAAATTCTATATAAAATATCCTGGTTATATTTCTCGATCAAAAAATAATAATAAATAATCTCTTTTTTAATTTCAAGATAAAAACATTAGAAAAATATGCTTCCATTCCAAATATGACAATCTTTATAAGAAATATGTATTTTGTATTTTCAAAAAAATGGACTATTTATTTAAAAAAATTGATGTAATCAAAATATATATATATATAATGCAAATATCATATGAATTATAATATATGTTATTTTTCTAATGACCCGAAAAACTTCATAATCGGTTATTGAAAATTTATTTTCTGTTGATCTAATAGGAGTTGCATAATGAGATAATTTGGAACAACAAAAACTATCTTGTGAGAAATCTAATACTTCTGATTCCATTTTAAGATCACCATCTCCAAAACATAATCCATTTGTATTTTTATTGTAAATTCCATAACAATTAATTGCATTATAAGAATTTCTTGTTCTGCTAAGAATAGAATTTTGGATATTTCCACTTTTTAATGAAAATATAAAGCTATCATATGTTTTTTTAAAACCAAGAAGTTGTAAATCCCATTTTAAAGGATTATAACCTCCTAGAATTTCATCAGTTCCATTAACTTTCATGATAGCTATTGTATCACCATAACCATGGCACATCTTCCAAAAAGTGTTAGGAACAAAACCGTCTCTACTTCCTCTTAAAATTAATTTAAATTATATGGAATATCATCTTGTAAAGAGTAAGGAATTGATTTGTGAACAATCCATGCTGAAATCTCGAACAAATGTTCTTCACTGATTATAGTTGAAAATGATTTATTTTCTCTGAGAAACAATGTTGGAGACAATGTTGTGGAAGTTGATTTCTTTTCTATTGGAAAAAGCGTTGTTGAAATTGAAATAGATCGTGCTGGTAAAATAATTGATTTAATTGGTCGATTCGGAAGTAAGAGATATTGTATCAAATTATCCCAAAGTTGCTTATCAAGAATTTTCCGAAACGGTTTGATTTTATTCATAACATCCTCACTTGGAATGTGAAAATAACTAATAAGTTACAAACAATTTTGAAGAGTAGTTTTTAAAGTTTTGAAATTCATTTCGGTCCATTCTTCCAATTTCACAGGCAAACCAGGATTTTGAGCAATTCCCCATTTAATAACGTGATCCCAAATTTTGGATTCTTCCATTTGTAGATCATCTTGCTTTAAAATAGATACCAACGCTGATTTTTGAAGGGATGTAAAATCTTCAGATTCAAAAATAAGATTAGGATATTTTGTGATAATATTATTACAAAAATTTTCCAATTCTTTGAATTTGTTAATTTTAAAAATTGAATGATAAACAAAAGAAAAATGAGTTTTTAACCAAGATTCTTTACTTCAATAAAGTAACTTTCTAATTTCTCACAAAGTTCTTCAAATTCCAACTCTTTTGCAGTAATCATTAATTCGTAAATAATTTTAGTATCCACATTTTCCACCTTAACAATTCCACCATAAATATATCTACATAATTATGAATTTTTATTAATAATCAAAGCAAAAGAAAAATATAAATATATAATATATTCAACTTACTTAAGAATAAATTCAAATATTTGAGAAGAAATATTTGGTTTTAATAATAATTTCAATATTATTTTCGCTTACAGTCGTATTCATTAATTCATTCTTAAAATAGGATGATCGAAAACGTAAGACGGTTGAGTGCGTAATGAATGATTTTTTATTTGTGTCTTTATCGACTTCAATAATGACATTATATTCTTCATTGTCATCGAGAAGTTCAGTGAAACCTTAGGATAGACATTTTTTTAAGCAGATGGGAACTTATATATGGTGATACACGATATTTCAGTTACACGAGCACAATGAATATTGGAATACATATAAATTCAAAATTTTTCTTTTCGATGTACATCAACATAATATAAATTCTTATGGAATCAAATTTAAATTACTTGAAAACTTTGAATATTTATTTAATATTTTATTTTTCAAGAGAGATGTGGAGGTCAAAGAAATTGAGCAAGAAAACATATAATACATAATAATCAAAAAGTGTTATACAAAATATAAAATATTTAATATTATTATCATCTCCCATTTTCTCATATTATCTTCTCCAATATTGAGCAAATTTATGAATCGTTTCAATAACTTGAGGAAATAATGCACTAACAGAATCATTAATTAAATTCTGGAAATATTTTATTGCTTCCTCTTCTGTTAAATCTAATCTAAACTTTTCTTGTACCTATTAATAAATAAATTAATAATAAATTAATAAATAATATAATAAATAATATAATAAATATAATTATTATTCTTTCTTATCAGCAACAACAATAATAAAATCAATGACAAAATAATAATAATAATAATAATAATAATAATAATAATAATAATAATAATAAATCAAATAATAATAAATCAAATAATAATAATAATAGAAATATAATTTACCTTCCAAACTGCTTTATCCGGTTCAATTTTAATATCATGTACATTCGCATGAACCATTAATGCAAATAGATTTAATATCAAATTAGCACTCTTACGTAAAATGTTAAAAGCGATATAACAATAATTTTTAAATCTTTGATAATGAATAGAATTTGCTCCTCCCATGGCTTCAACCATCTCTTTACATAACTTCATGGGTGGAGGAAATGGTTTTGGATCTCGACCTAGGATATAACCAAAATCTACATGAAATAAGTTACCTAAGAATATAATTATATGATTGTAATATTATTATGTTAGTGTGTAAAAGATATTTAATAAATATTGAAATAAATATGAAAAATTGATTATTTAATTAATTAATTACCATCTGGGGAAAGTAATAAATTATCCAAATGACGATCTCCTACACCCAATAAATATGTAATAACGCAATACCCAGCTATTAAAAAAAATAGAATTAAATAAAACAATTAAATCAATTAAATATAAAATAACATAAAATAACATAAAAATAATATAAAATAATATAAAATGATATAAAATAATATAAAATAATAAAAATAAAAATAAAATATAATTTGATAATTTACCACAACTTTTAACATAAGTATCCATGACAGTAGGATTAACTCCATATGTTCCTACCGCTTTCTCTTCCGGATGATGAGTTTTTAAAAATTGTAATAAACTACCATTATATTCACTTAATACATTAGCCAAAGTTGATGACGTAATGAATTGAACCAATCCATGATCTTGTCCCGTGGCAAGAACTTTATAAGGAGTTAATTTTAAATCTAAATTCTCTTTACGCAATAATTTATCCATCAAGGTTATGATTTGAATTACTAATTGATCTTGTTTAAGGTCATCACCGGCTTTGAAGATTACTGGATATTCACTACCATCTACTACCGAGAAAGTTAATCGTAATGGAAATAAATTACTCTTAAATACTCCAGTCTTTTCTAAATAAAGAAATTAAAATAAATAATTAATAAAATATATAAATGTATTGTATGTTTGTGTTATGTTTAGAATGGTGGAAGATAGAAGATTGAAGTTACGTAGTCACCTGGAATTATACCAGTAACTTGAACACGCGCATCAAGAGGTAATGGTAAAGGTGGAAATTGTAATAAACCATTTTTTGGATCAGATATTATAGATCTAATTCTTTCAATCTAAATAAATAAATAATGAAATAATAATAAATAAAATAAAATAAATAAATAAATAAAAAAATAAACACATAAAACAAAATAAATAAATAAAATAGAGCAATAATAATAATAAGAAATATATATAATATATATATAAAATAAATAAATAAATAAAAATAAATTACTTTTTTAAGTCTTGTATCTTTCATTGAACGTATTTCGGTAGAAATAGAAGATACAGCTGCAACCAATTCACCTTGCCTACGAAGTATCTCTCTTCTTTGATGTCCAGATGGAGCTTCTATCATTGCATGCTGATACTGAAAATCTACTTTTGCATACATTTTACCATCACTTTTGTCATTATCATCACATTCTACCATGAGATACCTTGTTTAAGAAAGAAACAACATAGATATATCAATTAAGAAAGAAACAACATAGAGAATTAATTAATATATATAATAAATAGATATAATAGAAATTAATAGATATAATTAATAGATATAATTAATAATAATAGTAATAATTTATTAATTACCAATGAAAATAATTTCCTAAAATAGGATTCTTAACCCCTCTTTCGATCAAAAATTCTGCCAAACTAGATTCATGCGATGATGATTTATTATTACCAATTTTTTCAAATTTTAAAGCTTGAACGAGTTGTAATAAATATAATAACAATTCCTAAATTTCATAAATAAATATTTAAAATTAATCGAAATAAATAAATAAATAAATAAATAAATATAAATTCCATAATATAAAGATATCTAAAAATAAATAAAAATAAAATATATACAAACTAACTTCATCATCCGCCTTTCTTAATTGACTAACAGCATATCTTCTTACAGCTCGATTTTGGAAATTATTACCTAACAATTCAAGTGCATCATCTAAATCAATATCAACCCATTGAGGTAATAACTCCACCGCTTGTTTAATTTCCATGGGATCATTCCATTCTACACATTTTAAAAATTTGGTGAGTGCCTAATAAAAATAATAATACAATAATAGTAATAATAATAATAATAATAATAATAATATGATAACATTAATATGATAATAATATAATATGATAAATGATAATATTATAATTTTAAATGATTGAGAATGAATATATAATTACTTTCTTATCACGAGTTAAATAAAATCTAAATTTCCATAACAAATCTTTTTCTTCTGAAGATAAAGATTGAGTTGGTGGATATTTCATTATTTCCTTTTAAATCAATAAGAATTAAATAAATAATTAATAATTGATGATTTAAATTAATAATTAATAATTGATGATTAAATTAATAACTGATGATTAAATTAATAATTGATTAAATAATTAGTTTAGTATAAACTCACATTTAATTCATCTCTAATATTGGCATTTGGTTTCAAATCACGATCTAAAGGTCCACTTCTTACTAATTTCCTATGTTTAGCTTCCACCGGATTATCCTGAAATATTTCGGGATCCGTAATAAATATTATACTTGGATCACCACCTCCCGTTCCTCCATTTCCACATCCACCACCGCCTCCTAATCCTGATGTTCCCGTTCCTCCTAAACCTAAACCTGAACTTGATACACCCGTTATTCCACCACCACCACCTCCACCTCCTCCACCTCCTATTCCACTTATTCCACTTATTCCACTTCCTATTCCTATTCCTATTCCAGAAAATGAAGAAGTAGAAGAAGGTACAAGTCCGCCATTACCATTGGATTGTGTATTGATAACTGTTGGTAATGTATAATCCTATTATTAAAATTATCACAATTTAAATTGAATATTATTTATATATCTCATAATTAATTATATATTATAAATTATATATTTATTATATATTATACTTACAGGTTCACTAAAGACAACTGGAAAATCAAATTTAGGTAAATCTATATACAAATATAAGTTTTTTGACTTTGATGATTCTTGCTATTTTTATAATATTGTTATAAATATAAACATTACTAATATAAACACTACTAATATAAAACACTACTAATATAAAACATTACTAATATAATACAATAGAAAGATTATAAATTTATAAATAATAATTATAATCATCATTTACCTTATGAATCTTTTCAATTTGACGAAAAGCAAGATTATCCAACCATTCTAATTTAGACATATCATTCCTTTCATATCTCTTAACCAACTATTTAAAAAATATATTTATATATCAAATAATTAATAAATGTAAATAATAAATAAATTATCAATAATAATAATAATAAATATAAAATTACTTTTTCTAATCGATCCATTTCACTCTTATTTCCAACTTTACTTGGAGTAATTGAATTTTCACGTCCATCTGCTTCAACATCTGGCCAAAGGTAACATTTATGTTTCCCTTTTCTTAAAGTACTATTTTATCATATTCAATCATTAGTTAATTATTATTATTATTATTATTATATTGTCTTTACTTAAAATCATATTTATTAATATAATCATCATCATAATAATAATCATCATAATAATCATAATATATTACTTGTATTTTCCAAAAAGTCTAAAAGTCGTACCACCCACCGGAACAACTTTACGTGGACCATAAATATCCCATACTGTTAATGCCAAATGTGCAGTTACAGGAAGATCCCGATATTTTAAAGGAATTGTCAACCATTCATTCCAACTTTTAATAATGTTAATAATTATTGATAAATTATAATTAATGGATAATTATTAATACAATTACAATTACATTACAATAAATAATAATAATATATTCACCTCCAATGATTTTTAAATGATTTATAACAAGTTCTTATAGGAATGGTAAGTGGTTTATTATCTGCATATACTTGACAAGTTACATATAAAACCGAATAATCACTTGTTTGTACTCCAGTATATTTAAGTGAAGGATCTTTAAGAGTAGCTGTAAATGTTTTTTTCTCTCGAATTCCTTCTAAACTTGAACTTTATTTTTATTTTTTTTTTTTGATAGGTGTCAAATATATGTGAAATGTGTTTATTTATACAATAATATTAATTAAATTAATTTTCATATTTAATTTTGACCTTAACTTACATTCGTACATTTAACGGAAAATCTAAATCTTTGGTTAAACAAAATGAATATGAAAAATCTTTGGCTTGACCAGATACATAATCCATTATTATTTAGTAATAACAGTAGTAATATTGTTATTATTATTTAATATTATTATTATTTATTATTATTATTACAAATTATCACTACCACCCAGAAGCAAATTCAATCCGCAATACAACAATGTTTTAACTTCTGAAAATTTAAACTTTATATTTTATCATAATTATTATCACATCACTGTCACACAAAGACAATAAAATATTGTATAAATAGAGAAAAAAAGATCTTTCAATCAAAAAAATATACATATAATAACATAACATAAATAAATTACCTACGTTAAAACTGGCTCCACCAACTTCTATATCAGATATATTAAATATATCAACAACAACAACAACGACATCAACATCAACATCACCAACATCCTCAACATCACCAACAATACAAACCTCACTAGAAACTAATTTATCTGTTCTCGGTTTTTCAACAATAACAGCAAGAACAGCAACGATAAGAACAACATTAAATAATATTCGATCGGCGCAAGGATTGTCGCACCGAGAGAGAAATTATCGAAATAATAATAATAATAACAATAATAATAATATCAATAATAATAATAATATAAATAATAATAATATAAATAATAATATCATCAACAACAATAATATCAACAACAACAATAATATCATCAACAATAATAGCATTGATAGAATTGCATCAACAATATTATTTTCATCATTGTCAAATTCATCATTAATAAATTCTTCAATATTTAATTCGAGGTTAATAAATAATAATAATTTTCAATTGCGGGAAGCGGTAGAAGATTTTGTTGAAGTAGAAGAGGGTGAAGTGGTAGATGAGGAAGAAGTGGAGGGTGAAGTGATAGAGATCGAAGTGGAGGAAGAGATCGAAATGGATGAAGGGATAGAAGTGGAAGTGGAGGAAGAAGAAGAAGAGGAGGAAGAAGAAGAAGAAGAGGAAGATAATAATAATAATAATAATAATAATGAAGTTCAAAGTATACGTGATCGTGAGTTCCATTGTCGAAGTAAAACAGTTTGTAAATTAAATTGTGCTCATTGTGATTCTAGAATATGTGTTCGAGGAATGAAGGTAATTTATAATAACAATGATGATTATTAAATATTATTATTTATTATTATTATTATTATTATTTATCATTCAATTAATAATCAATCAAAACATTCATTCATTTATTTAATAATAATGATAATAATAATAGGCAATGCTTTTGGCGGATACAAATGTTGAGCTTTACTCTACTGATGTGCCGCCATTATCGTATGTGTGCGTTGATTTTTTCGATTTTTATTCTTTAAATCTTAAATTTTAATTATTATCATCATCATCATCATCATTATTATCATTTCATCATCATTTTCATCATTATCATTATTATTATTATAATAATTTAGGGTACAATTAGTAGGAAAAGATTACGTGACACAGAATTGTAAATGTAAAATTCGTGATGTGGCATGTCTCACCTGGTAATTATTTTTATAAATTATTAAATATTAAATAATGATAACAAATAATATTTATAATAATATCAATATATATAAATAATAACAATAATAATAATATAATAATAACAGCGGAAATGTTATTGGATATCATATCACCCAACCATGTCATCAATGTATGGAATCTTGTAATAATGGTCATCTTTGGATGTTTCATACTGCGGTGGTTACCAGTCAAGAGAGAAAAGATGTTGAGGGTATGTATATAATATAATTTTAGTATAGATTTTAGATGATTCTCATTACATGTTATTTATTATTATTATCATTATAATTTTATATAATTATATAATTTAATATTTTTTTTAATGTCCTTAATTAGGAAAAACATTATTATGGGCTAACATTCCACGTGCAGAAAAGGATATAGAAGTTATGAATATAGAAGATGATGAAAAAGTTGATTATGAATTTTGTTGTCGATAATATCTATCTATCTATCTATATATTCTAGAATATAACAATTATCTTTTTTTTTATTGTAAAAGAAATACGCAGTAATCTGAAGATTAAAATAAAAAAAAAACTGTATAAAATTATATATAAGTTAATTACACCAATTTTATTATTATTATTATTATTATTATTATTATTATGGATGATAAAAATGATTCTAATTAAACAAAACAGATAACTGGTAATAACATTTTTGGATAATATCTGATATAGATTTATAATTATCTTGAATTTTGAATCAAATAAATAAATAAATATTAAAATAATTTTTGTTAATTAATCAATATTAATAATATAATATAATATAATACTAACACAATTGATCTGTCTATATTACATAATACTATAATAATGCTATAAAGAGTAAATAATGAAAGTAGCTAAGCCAATCATCGTAATATTAAAGTTAACAGTAATTTATTGAATTTATTGATAATACCAATTTTGACAAGCCTCATTTGGATTACAAAGTTGTTATGATTACTACTATTATTGTTATTTTTTATTGTTGTTATTTTTATTATTTTATTATTATTTATTACGACAAATAGATCATAACAGATTAAGAGATAATCCAGTACAACGATTACAAACTAAATATGTATTTCGTCTATAACGCTTACTTTAGTAGAATACGCATACTTCGTACACTTGGTACATTTGATAAACTTGATACACTTAATGTACAAGTATAGCAGCAGCAGCAGCGTAATCAGCGTGCATAAAATCTTACTTTTTTTTTTTTTTTGGTTTCTCTCGTTAATTAGTTATTCAAAGTTTACTTTTTAATTTATAATGAAAGGAAAAGAAGAAAGAGAGAGAATGGAGAGAGAGAACATTAAGGAAATCGACTTAAAATAAAAAAGAATAAATTAAATGTCTTTATGTACTGTATGAAAATTTAAAATGTTCATTTATATTAATTATCATCATCAGAAAAGTTATATTTTTAATTTTAATGAATTTTCTTTTAAGTATTTTTTAAGTAATATACATAAATCACAACAACAGAGCACACATATAATATATAAATATATATATATGAAGTTTATATAAGGTTTATTTATATGTTAAAATATGGTAATTATTCCAAGAGATCTTTAAACTTTAAATTTAATCAATGTTTAATCTCTGTGTACTTGTATCATACTGTATCATACTGTATTATACTATATTATTGTATTTATACTATTTTATACTATATAATTATACTATATGGTAATATTTATCAGTTAATTTGTATTCACATGATGATGATGATGATGAAAAAAGAGAAATAGTATTTGTGGAGAATGTTTTTTGTTTCACCTTCGGAATGATTTATAATAAATAATAATAATAATAATAATAAATAAATAATAATAAAGAAAGATTTCATTAAATATTAATTATGACTATAAATGAATATAATGAATGATGGGATGAGATAAATAGTAAATCCTTTTTTTACATTCGTGAAACAAATAATAAAATAACAAAAAATCATACAATGTGGCAAATGTCAAAAAAAAATATTACCAAAAATTGCTTAAATTTTCTGTATGCGTTTTGAAAAAAAAAATTAAAAAAAATTTAAATTATCATATATTGTATATAAGGTTTGTATAAGGTTTGTAAATTGTAAAAATTTAACTTAATTAACTTATTTTTTAACTTTATTGATTTAAGGTTATTATTATCCACGAATCAATAATACTCAATAATGTAACTGTCTATAATAACAAATAACGACGATTCCCGAAGATGCTTCGGCAAATTTTTTAAATTTATAAAAGAAAATCTATAACGAATTTTTATAGAATTTTCATGGAATTTCGTGGAATAGAATTTAAAGAATCGAAAGAATCAAAAAAAGTGAATTCCAAAATGACGCCACAAATAACATACAAATAACATGCAAATAACATATATATATATATACATATATATAAAATAACATATATAAATAATACATATGTAAATATATAATATATATATAATATATATATATATATATATATAATAAATAACATATACCTGATATACCTGCATTAAAAAAAAAAAGAGTTCAAAAAGAAAAACGTTAAAACGTTTTCTCAATGATTATCTTCACACCACTCTTTTTACAAGACTAACCAACAAACCATAACCTAGCAAAAATAAAATAAAAAATAAAAATAAACAACGAATTTTCTGTTTATCCATTCCATTGTTTTTGTTTAAAATATTTCTATAAATGACAATAATTTATCCAAAACATTATTTATATAACACCTTAAGAACGAGAGTCTTGAAATAATTATTCCGATTTAACCATAATTTCTCCCCCCCCCCCCCCCCGAAAATGAATAAATAAATAAATAAATGAAATTAAATAATTAAAAATATAAAGAAATAAAAAGAAATGATAAAGGAACATCATCAATAAATATCAATCAATTGAATCAATAATAAAGTTTACCGAGAAAAGATTAATTCAAACCAGAAACAAAAATAACGAATGATTCTTTTTTTAGGATGCAGGAGATAACTACGATTACTATCACTAATTATTAATAACTATTACTAACTACTAACTTTTATTATTATTTAATAATAAACTATTAGACTATTAATTAATTAATTAATTACCATTAATTTATTCATTGTTCATTGTTTTAATTGAAACTTTACTTTGTCAATTTTGTCAACTATTTATGCATTCGTTATCGGTTTGTATGATTTGTGTATATGATATCTGCTGTTGACCATTTAACACAACACACACACACACACTTTATTATAGTCTTTATAGTCTGTCATTGTATATATATATATATATATATATACATTTAATAATAATGAAATCTTTTTTAATTAATCTATAAATAAATCCTTTGTTTGCAATAAGAATAAATCTAAATTTGGAGATGATGATTATTATTATGAAGGAGAAGAGGATAGTTGTATATCTATATAAATGCATATATGTAATGACCAGAAGAGAAAAGGATTAAAGGGGAAGAGAGAGACAGTGCATCATTGCATGATAATTTGTAAGAGAGGAGGAGAAGGAAGGAGGGAGGGATAAACAGCACAAAGATAAATACACAAAGTAATTAATTCTATTATAATGAAAGTATCCGATATGGTAGATAAAATGAATTTGATTTTTTAAGTTTGTAAAAAAATTTGTAATAACATGCGTCCAAAAAAGAAAAGAAAAAAATTGACATCGCGCATTTTTTATCTTCTATATTCAGTATGTGTGTTTTATTTTTATTATTTTTGAAAACTAAAGTAAATATTTGGGTTAGTTAATTTGGATCGCCTAATTTTCAAATAAAATAAATTACCAATTTATAGAATTTTAAACTAATTTAAATTAATCTAAACTAATTTAAACTGTATATGTATAAGAAAACGCCACCATACTTTTGGTTTTTTTTTTTTTTAACCTGTTACTGCACTCAACACTTTGACCATAAATAAATAATTAAAAAAAAAAAAAATAATAATAAAACTTTATTTTTTTTTATATATGCATTTACATTCTCTTTACTTTCAGTTTATACGTTCATTAAAAAACGCCAAAAAAACCTGATTTGCCTTCTTTGATTTTTTCAAGCAAAAAAAAACGAAAGAAAATTAAAATCTTTTTTTTTTTTTAAAAAAAAAAAAAAAGATTAAGACCAGACCATTTCATCAATATTTCACTAGTATTGTTATTTTTTTTTTTCTTTTGAAGGTGAACTTTGTTTTAAACTTTCAGACCATTAAAACAGAAATTATTAGATCAATCACACGAGAAAAATAAAAAAGATATACGAGTTTAAGTTTTTTTTAAAAAAAAAAAATTAAAAAAGATTTTTTAAAAGATCTTTTCTTTTTTTTAATCAATTGATCATTATTATTAATCGGCGCGTTATTAACCATTAGTGCGCGACTATTTTTTTTAACTATTATTATTTTGGCTTTTATAATTTTTATAAATTTTTTTTTTGTTTTCGTTCAGTAAAAAAAAAAAAAGAACTATTGTAATAAATAAAAAATGCAAAATAAATGCAGTTATTGATAAAAATTTTTACAATTGTGAGAGGTGAATAAAAAAAAAGGGAAGAATATATATATATTTTTGAAAAGGTGGAAGAAAGAAGAAGAAATCTTGTAATAAAAAAAAATGGGGAGGTGCTCTTGCTTTTTTTTTGATTTACAATGCGATTGATTGATTGTTATATATTTTTTTTTGAGAAATATGCTTGCCTTGCCTAGAAAATAAAAAAAAATAATAATAGTCAAATTCTCGGTGCTGTTCTTCTGCCTTGGATGAGGAATTTTTTTTAGTAGTTTTTTTTTTTTTGTAATATGTTTTTTGATTTGTTGTTGTTGTTGTTATATGTATACATGACATTATTACGATAAATAATTATAATAATAATGATAAATAATTATTGAAAATTAAAAATTTAATTATTATATTAATATAAAAAAAAGATTTTTAATTAAAAAAAAATTCCTTAGCATAGAATAATAATGATAATGTATGTTAAATTAATTAATTAACCTATGAAAGATACTTTATTAATCGAAGGGAGAAGAAAATTAGAAAGGACTAAATATTATTTCTTTAATAAATTAAACAATCCATCAAAAGATGCGAATAAAAAATTTTTTTTTCTTTTTTTTTTTTTTGATTCATATAAATTTTCCCTAATGTGTGTTGACACATGGCAATGGAAATATTCTTTTCGCTAGGAAAATAATAAAAAAAAAACGATTAAGGCCAAGAATCGCTTTTTTTTTTGTTATTGGACTAATAAATAATATGAATCAAAAAAAATATTTTTTTTTAAAAAAAAACCCAAAAAAGGCACATTTATATAAAAAAGAGGAAGGGAAAGGACTAAATGTGCACTTTTTTAAGAAAACCAAGAACCTGGTTTTTGAGTTTGTAAACTCTCTTCGAAAAAATAAATAAAAATAATAACAAGGCCGCAAGAGAGTTTCGATTTTTTTTTTTTTTTTTTTCTGAGATTTTTTTTTTCTTTTAATAAAAAAAAAGGAAGATTCTTCTCCCTTACTTCCATTCAACAAAAAAAGTATTTTCAATTTTTTCCATACGTTTTTTTTTTTTGATTATAAAATGCATGTGAGATTTGGGTGCTTATAATGATATTTTTTTACAGATGAGTTAAAAATGTCATGTGACCTAATTAATATGAGAAATGAAAATCTGTCAGTTAATATAATATATATAATTAAATCAAAGTAAATGCAAAAAAGAAAGATGATCAATATAATAATTAATTTAATTCAATACCTTAATTTCTTGGAGAGTTAGGTGAGCATATAGTAGGTTTTTTTTTAATATAAAGTTTTATAAATGGTTATTTTTTTTTAAAGAAAAAAAAAATTAAAAATCAATTTTTACAAGAATGCATGCAAAAGTGAAGGAAAAAATAAAGTAGTGAATGTGATTTGCTCGAAATTTTTTTTGTTTGTGTTTGTTTGTGTTTGTGCGGAAAAATAATTACGAAGTTTTTTTTTTTTTTTGTCATTATAACGAAGAATGAAATAAAAATAAGAAAAAAACGAATTCATTAAAAAAATTCTTGAATACGCCGATGCATATCCTAAAAAAAAGAAAAAAAAATATTATTAGAATTTTTGTCAATAATAATTTATCAAACAATCTGCCCCTTTTTTTAATTTTTTTTAATTTTTTTTTTTTTTGAATTAAATTATTAATTATTAAAAATTAATAAAATGAAATTATGATTATAATTGAATTTTTAATTAAAAAAATAGAATAAATAAAAAAAAAAATAGAATAAAATTACCAAGTCATCATCATTTGTAAAATTAATAATCGAGTTTTACGTATTGTGGGTTACGAAGGTACTGCTCATCAGCCGTCGAGATAAAACTAAGTGAAGCCATATTGTTCATATTATGATAATCATATGGATTTACATGATTTACATAGTCATCCAGACCAAGGTAGACTTCTCCCGACGAGTTAGAATTTGTTGTGTCAAATACACTAAAATCTATCATTCCATTTGATGTAGTAACAGGAGCAAATGTTGTATTCGTGTTATTATTATTATTTGATTCATATGAATTTTGTGGACCTTCAAGATATGATTCAAATTCAAATTTTGCCATTGTTGTAGCATCCAAATACATTTGATGCTGTTGTTGTTGTTGTTGTTGTTGTTGATGTTGTTGTTGGTGTTGAACGAGATCTTGTTGTTGTGTTGGAGGCGATTGTGAACCTCCTCCTGTTGTATTTGCTGTCGATTGAGTATTATCTGTATACAACAAATGTTGATTTTGAGGATTTTGTGAAATCAAATGGTGATGGTGATGATGATGATGATTCATCATTGCAGCATTTGAATTGGTGGTTGATGGTGGATTTGTAGAATTAGTTGGTGCTGTTGTTGAGGTAGGTGAATAAATGTCGGAATTTTCGCCGTCTGTTGATATTGAAATTCGGCGTGCAAAAAATGCCGATGCATCAAAATTTTGTGATGGCAAAGTTGGCGTATTTCCTGATGTGGGCGATAAATCTTCACGTGGTTGAATCCTACGTTTCCTCTCTTGCGGTCTTCTAGGGCGATACCTATATTCAGGATACTTCTTCATGTGTTCCTGTTTGGCCGCATCAGCCATTTTTTGAAATTTTGACCTAACTTCTGGTGGTTCCTCGTGCCACATTCTACCAATCTCTTTAGAAACTTCATTATTAGTTATCCCTTGATTTTTTGCTACGATCCCGGGTTGCTTAGCACGACGATAGAGTATAAAAGCATTTGGTGGTCTCGGAGGTTTTTTAACCTTAACTTTTGAATTTGTGTTTGATGCTTTAGGAGTAGGACCCGCAACTCCACAAGGAAGTGCAAATGAAGGTAAACGTACATCAGTATCTGGAAGCATTCTAGGAACATTAGGAGCATTTGATACTGGTTTTGCATTTTCCAATAAATTTGTTACTGATGTCGCTTTTGCATCATTAGGAACTAACACCGGTTCAAAACCTTCCGGAATAAAATATAATGTACCCTTATTTTGATCATATAAGTCTTGTACTTTATCATATGAAACATATTCAAAATTTGGAACAGGTGGCCCACCCTTTGAAGTTCTAAACTGTGGTGGCTGAGGTAATTGCGGAATAAAGGTTTCTTGATCACAACTCGCCATGGAGCTTTCGTTGCTTTTAATGCTATTTTCTTTATTGTATACCTGCATTAGGATGGCAGAATATTCTAATATATAAATAAGAAAGAAAACGAATAAGAATGTTAATTTCAAACTTTTAAATAAAATTGGTGAGAAAAAAAAATACCAAGATTTTAACTAACACTTCAATAATATATAATTTCAATAAATAATAAGATAATAATAATATTTAAAAAATTTGAAACATATATTTACATAATAGCAAAATAGGTCTAAAAAAAAAAAAAGAGGACTTTGGACAACAATTTTTTGGGGGCAAGACAAAACTGTGCGTTATATATACAGTATAATATATATATATAAAAAAATATAAATATATAAGATTTTATAGATTAAATAGAATTAGCATTTTAATTTTTAAATTTTTTTTTTTTAATTTTTATTTCGGCAACATTAAAAAAATTTTTGTACATATATATATATATACAGTAATATTTATTTTATTTTTATTTTATTTAGTTGCTTATCAGTAAGTTTTCTTAGTTATTTTAGTTGTTAGATAGTATTTTAAGTCTTGTGGTGTCACTTTGATTTTGTAATACAATAAGAGGGAGTTACACCAAGAGTTTTTTGAGTTTTTTTAAAAAGCCACACTATATTCAACGATATTTATATTGGTATTTATATTACATTTATATTACATTTATATTTTATATATATATATATATATATTTATATTTATATATCTATATATGTTGCGTAGAATTTAAGATATAAAGGAAAGATATAAAGGATATAAGAGATTATAAAATATATATAAGAGATTATAAATATATATATATATATATATATACAATAAAATCTGTTTAATCTGCAATTGTTTAAATCGTTTAAATTATTTAAATCGTTTAAATTATTTAAATCATTTAAATTAGGATGTTACTAATGACACTATGACATGAATGATGTTAAAATAAACGACCACTAATAACAACGACATGCTAATAGATTAATAGAACACAATGTTGTAATACGAAAAAGTTTAAGTAATCATCATCGTCTTTCATTTTTCGAGAGTAATAAAAAGTGGAGCCCATCTTTAGTAGCACACACAGTAAACAAATTTTTATTTTTATTATTTTTATGTAATATTTTCAAGATTTGTAATTATTTGTAATATTTTTAATAAATATTTTTGAACTTTGACTTGAACACAGAGATCCTCAACTCTGAAAACGGATAACGGGAGTAACTTCCTTGTATTCAGATATCTAAAAATATTTATAAATATTTTTTAAATTATTTACGAATTATTTATTTATTTACGAATCTGCCAAAATATTTTTTATTTATTACCCCTTGACTACTTATTGAGACCACTTAATAAGAATAACTTATCAAATATATATATATCCATCATCATCATCATCATCATCATCATCATCTATTATTTATCATCATCAGTAAATTTATATAGTTTTTAAAAAGTTAAATTTTTGGAACACCTTGAATGTGCACGACGTGTAATTTCTGATAAAGTATAGATTGAACTCTAGATTTATACAAGATTTTTGAGGGAGAAAAGCAAGTCTGTGATTTGATTTGATCGGGGTTTCGAGTTGTTTCATTAACCAGATCACGAGCTGGTTTAGGATTCATTTGGATATAATGATCACGTTTTTGGATACAATATTTTTTTTTGTTGTGTTGTTGTTTCTCTCTCACCCAAACAATTTTAAATGTTAACCAGAGAATTAGGTTGATTAAAAAAATATTTTGAAATATTTTAAATATTTTTTAATTGAAAATTTATTATTAAATATCAAATAAACCTAAATATTACTATATATAGTAAATACTACAAGAGATGATCTAGTTTTATTATGCTTTCGTTATGCAACGTTAAAATTAACTAACCACATGCCTAAAACTGCATAAAAAACTATTTAAAAACTTCCTAAAATTGCCTTTATTGACTAATTTTTTTCGGAATATGTGATAGTTTATAGTTTATATAGTTTATATACATTGAAATTCTCTCATATTTATATTTTTTATTTTCTTTTAGTATTTTTCTTACCGTACCGAATTATGACAATCTAATCCAATTGTAAACGATTTTCATATGTTTTATACACTTTTATATATATATATATATTTTTTTTGATATTTTTTTTTTTTTGTATGCTTGCAAAGTTATATAATAAATAAATTATAAAATAATTAATTAATATATATATATTGAGTAAATAATAAATACAAGTTATTTTATAAATTTAATAAATTTAGCAAGTGAACAATTTCCTTTATACACGTATATAATGAAAAAAAAAATCTGCTTTTTGCCAATTTAAATTTCCTAAATTGGTAATATTTTGGTTCATTATGGTTGGTTTTTATGGTTTTTTACTATCCTTACTATCCGTAGTAATGATAATACATCATCATAAATAAATCATAAATAAATAAATAATCATAATAATGATGATATTAACAGGTATTTTTTTCTTTCTTTTCTCTCACGAATTTCTTCATACCATACCGAATGCTATAAACTATTATTGCTAATATTGCCATTATTGCTAATAATTGCCATTATTGGTTTGTGGAGATTTTCGATTGGTTTATTTCTTTATTTTATTTAATTTTAATTTTCGTTCTTTTTTTTTATATATATGGTTACCCACGTTTTTTCATCATTTTCTTTGTAATTTTCGTAATTTTTTTTGCTTTTAAAAATTTTTTGGTATGGTATTAACTTATAAGGAATTTTTTTTTCATTATTTTATTTTTTAAATAATAAGTCAATTAAATCGATTCTAGAAAAATCTTTTTATACTAAATAAA